GAGGGGAAAATAAGCTGTTTTTCCAGATCAATATGTCAGGCACAGCCACCGTAAAAGCAGTATGTCAGTGTTGAAGGTCTGTCTTGTACTTAACACATCATAAAAATCATACGTTAAAGGCTGTCCTCATCAATATGTGCCAAGCAGTCAGTCCTATATATCACTAACAGCATCCAAGTCTGTTGTTGATTTCCCATCAAACGTGTTGCACATTAACACTGCCTCATGTAAACATGTGCTATTAATATAAATGTATAATGGACTGATCGTAAATCCTGCTGATAAATACTTATATGTTGCCACTGTAACTGCTCCTCAGTTTCAAGTGAAGACCAACATACATGTATGTGCCAAGCAGTCAGTCCTACATATCACTAACAGCATCCAAGTCTGTTGTTGATTTCCCATCAAACGTGTTGCACATTAACACTGCCTCAGGTAAACATGTGCTATTAATATAAATGTATAATGGACTGATCGTAAATCCTGCTGATAAATACTTATATGTTGCCACTGTAACTGCTCCTCAGTTTCAAGTGAAGACCAACATACATGATACGTGCTCTGTTTTCTGTTTTCACTGCTTGCTCTGCGGAGGATGATCAAAACCTACCAACAGCTCTGGACTGGGATACAGCACCGCAGATTTTATCAACAAAATGGAAAGAGAACACATACACTCTCTTTGGGGGATTTTTTATTTTATTTATTTATTTTTTCATTTTAAAGCTGCAACCGCACTTGTTTCATTTACTCCTGCTTCAGTATGAAATAGAAGGCATCAGGTGTTGGACACAACGCATATTCATATTTATTAAATATGAAATATTTAATATTGCATATTATATTCAGATCATTATTTTATTGTGTTTGTTTTAGTTTGTTTTATTTTTGTTTAATTTAATTGGTTTTGAGTTTTATTTTATTTTTTACTTAACTTTTGACTTTATTTTTTGTTTTAAATTTAAATAATTGTGGCCAATAACAGCACATTAAAACTTTCGCCCATACTGTACATGTCTTATATGTGCTGCTAGTGTACTCCTAAAATGGAATAATATTACTTTTGAGCAGTTAATTGAATTTGAAATGTACACTCAGTCCACACTCAGATACCTTTATTAATTTTAATTTTGTATATTATCTTTTAGATGCTAGTGCACTCCTAAAAGTGAATGATATTCACATTTACATTTTAAATACATTTAATACATTACACTCAGACCATACTATTTTACTTTACTTTATTTTATTTTATAATTTCACTTTTTATGTACTTTTATTTATTTTTGACCTATAACAGTACATGTTTCAAAGGTTGAAGAACAGTACAAAGATTTCACTCATGTATATTATCTTTGAGGTCTTCTGTATCATGTGTACTCCTAAAAGTGAAAAATATTCTCTTTTAATAGATAAATGCATTTTAAATTTACCGTCTCTCTATTCTGGGAAAAATTGTCCAAAAATCGTTGGTCTGTTTGTTGGTTCTGTTGAATTCAAGAAAGCCATGGATAACAGTAGTAGTTTGCTTTAGATTGGAAGGTTCTGGAGTTTCAGCGGCGTAACATCGAACAGTCATGGTTGAAAAGTCGTCATTGATTTTACCACAAACACATTCGAGTCAAAACTCTTTGACAGTCCAGCCCTGTGTGTTTGGCAAACATTACCGCTTGCTCTCCAGGGACAAGGCATGTAGCCTGTACGAATGATAAATGGCTGGAATGAGTAAAGTTGAGAAGTCAGTGACTGCCTGGTGTCCCCGCTGTCTTTCAGCAGTCCTCTTTTCCTCAGCCTTCACCTCTCCTTCTCACCAGTTTAATCGTCCGGCACTTCACACGCTCCACCTCTCGCTCCCCTCTCTTCCAGACCTCCTCCTGCTGTACGCCTAATTAATGGCTGAACATGCTGGAGAAGCCGTCACTCCTTCTTTTCTATCTTTTTTTCTTAATATATATCCTTTCAAAGGCGATGGAGGCTGGTGAAGGGCCTCTCATTCCCACTCCCCATCTCCTCGGCTCGTTTTTTTTTTTTTTTTTCGTTCCCTCCTTCACTACGTCTCTTCTTTTCTTCATTATTCATTAAGTTTCCCTTCAAAGCCCCAGACAGAAGGCAGAGAGAAAAGATAAGCTGCTGGACTTCAACCCACCTGCAAGAGCGAGAGTAGAAAATGAGCGAGGGATGACACACCGATATAATAAAATGGAATAGTTTGATATATATCCAATTTATTTTCTGTTTATATTCTGTTTACTTTTTAGACATAACTGACTGTTTACTTTAGTATTGCTGCAATGCATTGCAAACTGTTCTGCACTGTGTTATCAGTGGATATGGATGAGTAAATGGTTTTGTTTGCTTCCGTCTAGTTGGCTTGCATCAATATTGATGCATGCTGTGCAAGTCGGTTGAGAAGTTCTGTGCATTGTTTGGGCTGGTTGCCCTCATATAAAGCTCACTGATGAAATATATGGGATGTGTGACTGTCATGGGTTTGGTTTTGTGTAGTTCTTAAGTCTGCATCTCCTCGTGGATCACATGACTTCAGTTGCGCTTGTAAGATTTTATAATGTTTTTGAAAGTCTCTTATGCTCACCAAGGCTGCATTTATTTGATCCAAAAAATGCAGTAAAAGCAGTAATATCAAGTTCAAGACATTGGTGCTTGCCTACAGAACAGCCACGGGCTCTGCACCCTCCTACCTCTGCTCGCATCCCCTCCAGAAGCCTGCGGTTGGTAAATGAACGACGCCTCGTGGTCCCATCATAGAGAGGCACAAAATCACTCTCAAGGATGTTTCTTTCACCAGACCCTGTTGGTGGAATGACCTACCTAACTCCATCCGGACAGCCGAATCCCTCTCAATGTTCAAGAAACAACTGAAAACTCATCTCTTCCGTGGGCATCTGGATGCCTCCTTACAATTAATTAATTAATTAAATAAATAAATACTATCCATTCACTTGTTCTATTCTCTTATTATACTTTATCTCTTCCTGTCCTAGCTTTTACTATTTTGAACGATGACAGAAACATTGTATAACGGGCACTTCTCATGTTTATTGACATCTTATGATAAATCGCTTGTTGTATTCCTCAAATGTCAAAAGTTGCTTTGGATAAAAGCATCTGCCAAATGAATAAATGTAATATGGTGAAATACTGTTATAGTTTAAAATAACTGCTTTCCAATTTAGCATATTTGAAAATGTAATTTATTCCTGTGATCAAAGCTGAATTTCCAGCATCATTACTCCAGTCTTCAGTGTCACATGATCCTTCAGAAATCATTCTAATATGCTGATTTGCTGCTCAGGAGACCTTTATTTGTGTCAATATTCAAAACAATTGTGCTGCTTAATATGTTTGTGGAAAAAAATGGTGCATTTATTTTTGGATTTTTTGATACATTTATTTAAAATATTTTGTAACGTCAAATGTCTTTCACATTTGACCAATTTAATGCATCCTTGCTGAATAGAAGTATTTGATGTTTCAAGTATTAAACTAATAATAATAATAATAATAATACAAATGACCAAAGACCAAATTAATACATTTATTCGGGGTGTAATAATGAATTGAATTGGAATTGATTGGGGGCACATTAGAAACCTTAATAGCCTGGCTCATGAATATTATTATATGTGATAAATATTAAGTAATTAAAAGTATGAAAAATCTAATAAAATTAGAACCAGGTATGTAGGTAAAAAAAAAAAAAACAATAATAAAATAAAAATAAATGAAAAATAAATTGTGTATATATATATATATACAGTATATATATATATATACATACATGTAATATATTAATGTAATGGATACTCTGCAATAATCCACAAGTAATCCACACCACTCCAGTCCATGAGTTAACGGCTTGTAAAGTGAAAGCTATGTGTTTGTAAGAAACAAATCCATCATTAAGACATTTTTAACTTCAAACCATTGATTCTGACTAAATAAAAAGATAACTCTATCCATAATATTGATTTCTTCAGTGAAAAAGTTGTCTCGTCTGAATCAGGAGAGAAATATGCACAGATCAAGCACCGTTTACAAGCAAAAACAGTTTTAAACAGTTCTAAACAAATATGTCCGTGGATTTTGATGCGAGAGGACAACAGGGGATGGACTTCTTTTTCCCACTGAAGGATCCGGAGTGTTATTACGAATTATGGACCGGTACTTTTACCGGTAAGATAATTTTCATTTTTGAGTGAACATTTCCTTTAATCTAGCTATCAGCATCTCCACAGAAGGCAATTGTGTCGCTATTCAGCTCAAGTCAGTTCAGTGTAGGGCTGCACGATAAATCGCATGCGATATTTAACGCGCATCTTATCAGTAAAGCCGGTTCTGTAATCAGCGGTAAATCTCCATCACCTGCAGGCTTTCACATTGAGCAGCATTAACTACACAGAGCCGTTCACTGACAAGCTGCGCAAAACCACGTTCATATTCGCGCGATTTTTTGCGCTGCTCGTCAGTGAACAACGGCTCTGTGTAGTTAATGCTGCTCAATGTGAAAGCACGCACGTGATGGAGATTTACCGCTGATTAAAGAACCGGCTTTCTGACAAGATGCGCGTTAAATATCGCATGCGATTTATCGTGCAGCCCTATTTCAGTGTTGATTCAGCTCTGTTCAATAACAGTGTCGATGCTGCAGAGTTCATCAATTATGAAACACATTTGATTCATAATCGATTTAGTGTGAAAAATATCTATGAGTAGAAAGCCAATAAAACACATTTCCAGAAAGCAGCAGCAGCGTGCAACGAAGAAAATTAAATACTAGTGGTGATAATATTAATATGATCAAAGAAAGAAATGAAACTAACTCAAGATCTGACATAATAAAAATGATAGTTGTGTGCAGCCTGTGAGAAATCGAGCCAGAGAGAGAGAGAGAGAGAGAAGCAACGAGGGCTGGCGCACACATGACGGACGCTCTGTGAGCTCTGAGACGGCCAATCAGTGCGCTCGGCTCGCCCGAGCTGCTGCAGCGGAGGAGTGAGAGAGGATTCTCCCAGACACACACGCGCACACACGCATCCTAAACGGAGCAGAGCAGCACACGCTCGACAAGGGAGCGCAGACACGCGGTGACAATGGTATGCATGGGACAGAAAGTCTGTTTGGAAACTTTACCATACGCACCGGATGCACATGTTTGGACTTGTATCGTTAGGTAATGTGGAATATTTTCTATTTTCGTGCATCGTACAGAGCATGTTTTTTTTT